TGAATCCATCCTCTGTACTTCTATAACTGTCTGGTTCAGCTCAGCTACCAAATCTGACCTCAGAAGACTACAGAGGATAGTCCGGGCTGCTGAGCGAATCATGTGCAATACCCAACTATCCATACTTATATTTATTATACATATGTTATTGATTTAACATATCTTACATCTAGCTACATTCCCATGCATAATTTGTATATAGCACATCTGTACATTCAGTATACTGTCAATTGTCTTTTTGTCTATTGTGTATTGTTTTCACATATTTATTTTTAATCACTTGTTTATTTCGTTATCTGTATCTTGTCACTTGTTATACTGTCTGTGCACTGGAAGCTTCTGCCACCAAGACAAATTCCTTGTGTGTGTGTAAGCACACTTGGCAATAAAGCTCTTTCTGATTCTGATTTCTGCTTTCAAATCTGATTCTTTGAGTATCCGGAGGAGCTGGACACATTCATATCAAATTGTCTTGATGAACAAGTCCTGAAAGTCCATGCCATGTTTCTGTGAATAATATATCAAGGCATGTAGCTTATGTATGTATGTGCACTGCATTTCAAGAACTGTTTATCTGATCATTCAACTGTTCATTTATGATAGTTGGAACATATCTCTTGTTGAACATTTATTTTTGTAAAATTTAAAATGTAATTATTTTTGTATAATTCTATCATTTAATTTTGTAAACAAATAAAATGTGTTTATTTTGTAAACAAATGAAGCAAGGGATGTCTGTTTATTCATCTTTAAGTATGTGGAGGACCTGGACACATTTCATATCAAGTTTTGTGGACGAACAAGGTCAATGTCTTGTTACTTATATAATCTATCAAAGCAAGCATTCTCTGTTTAGCCTATGTATGTGTAGCCTACTGCATATGGAGAACTGTCTATCCTATCATTCAAATGTTAACACTTTATGATAAGTGGAACACATCTTTAGAAAATTAAATGACAATTATAAAAAAAAATATATATATGTTTTGACTTTTACAATAACAAAATTGAATTGTCCCCTTTAAATTTGATCAATTTAAAAGTTGTCTTAGGTGGGTCAAAATCGATCATAATAAATGTGAATTTATCTCATTACATAAATGAATAAGATAAGGTGTAAAGATTTTTATTACAATTAGCCTAATTTAATCAACCAATGCAAGCATTTTACAGCCTGTTGTGGTGACAAAATATTAGATAGCCTACATTAAATATATTAGATTTAAGTTGTGCCATTTTAGCCTAGACGTCCTTTAAAGAAATAAAAAAACGTGTATTAGTAAAACGAAAGGCAACATAATTTTATATATTTATATATATTTTTATAGGACATAGCCTTACTTCCGGGTTTCCCGACAGGGAGATGGGGAATCACAAGGTGACGTATTGGATAGGGGCGTGGTTTCTGACGTAACGCTTTGACGTGGGCGGGGTTGTATTTGGTATGGGCGTGGCTTCTGATGTCACAGTTGGATGTGGGCGGGGTTGGATGTCCACTGCAGGATGCAGCGAGCCCTACTTGGATTTCTGTTCAGACCAATGCGAAAATTGGCCATTTATTTATTAATTTTTTTGTAAATCATAGATGGAAAACAAGCTAATGTGCATTCTAGAAATATGTAGAACTGTTTCTGGAACAGATAAAATGCCTATAATTTATCCTTTTGATTTTGATCCTTTTCTTTAAAACAATTTAAAAGCTAAAATGTGAGGTTTATCGTTTTGTAAAACTTTTTTTGTCAAAAATGTAAACATGTAGTACATGTTCTAACATGTTATGTTGTAAGTCACCAAACCAAGATTGTTTGTTTATTTAAAATCTGATCATCATTTTTAATATTATTATTTTAATGTTTATGCATAGAGTGCATAGTGCTGCTAATTTTATTTGTTGTTTGTTGGTTTTTGACATAAAAACATAATAAAAGAGATTTCAGTGTCTGTATGAGTACTTTGGAACATTACCACCATATTTTAACAATACCGTGATAATAATGATAACTGTGATCATTTTGGTCACTATAATCGTGATATGAAATTTTCACACTGAAAAAGTGATTTTAATTTTTTATATAAATTTACACATAATTTGTTCCTGAATAGTTACTGTTAGACCTACCTGAGAAAAAACTTTTGTATTTTTGTGCTAATTTGTTAATTTATTACTGTTTATGCTAAATTATTTATTAAAATGCAAAGCTACATCAGTCAAAAAAATGAAACAATAACTTTTTTCTTTTAATTGATAATTAAAATGGTATGAAAATGGATGCTCATAGTAACCCTCAATGGTGAGGGGAGCGATACTTCCAAGTGTGTCAAAAATAGAGACACACTGGTTGAGTGGAGTCCAAGGTACCGGGGTCTAACCAACTCAGAGAAAGGGAATGAAGCTAAAACCTTACAGCCCTGGCTATCAGAAAT